TTTGATGAATTTTTTCATGTTCTCTTATTATTTTATTTAAACATTATTATGTATGAATAGTGTTTTTTTAGGGAAATTAATTAATTTAAGTGCTTTACAGGTATAAAAAAATTATCCAATAGATATAAAAAAATCATTTAGGATGTGTAGGAATATTTAATAAACTTAGATGAATTTTTCTATTTATAGGGAATATTTTCTATAGGAAAATTTGTGAATTTATTATAAAAAGAATTTAATTTTTGAAAGGCATGGAATAAAATTTTAGAATTAGGGAATAATTACATGAAATTAAAATTTTGAACTTTCAAATTAAATTAGATATAAACATTAGGAGTCAAAAAATTGTTAGAAAAACTTTAAAGGAAGGGTCTAAAGTGATTAATCGAATAAAAGAAGGACTTATGCAAGACTAATTAATGGATAACTATAGAAATTGAAGTACTGAAATTAAGCAATTTTTCCACCCTCTTATGCCAACTTAATACATTAATTAAGCTTGAATTTTAGTTAAATAGATGGCTATAAGTAAGGTAGGTGGAAAATTAAGATTAAAATAAGAATAAAAGGCTAGGAATTAATCCAAATGAAGGAAGGAGATTTAAAGAAAATTCAAGGGCCAACATTGCACCAAATTAAGGATGGAGATTGAGTTAAAAGTCCACCAATTTAGCCTATAAATATGGGTGCAAGAAAATAAGAAAATGGGAGGAAAATAGAAAAGCCCAAGGCAAACTCTTGCCAATTTTTCATCAAAAGTTTCACCCAAATCACTTCCAACCATTTTTAAACATCCTAAACCACTTAATTAAGCCTAATTTTCAAGCTAGAAGTTCAAAAATTTCGAGAAATTTAGAGGAGCTTGGTCGAAATATTGAAGAAAAAGGAGGAAAAGAAGTTTCAACATAATCCACTTTTTCAAGGGTAATTTGGAGCTTCCTTAGGTAAGTTAATCTCATCTACACCGCAAACATGTTATAATTGATGTTAATTATGAGTTTGAGTCATTAATTTTGATTTAATTGAATTAGTTGTGAAAATTAGGGATAAGGTTCTTAGTGAGATCAATTTTGAGAAAATGAATTTAAGTCATAAATTTATGTAATTGATGTCTAAGTATGTTAATTAGACTCAAATATGAGGAAGTAAAATAAAAAATCTTCTAGGGTTAGGAGAGAGAGTGCATTTGACCCAAACTTAGGAATTAGAGGTTTTTGATGTTTGGATTTCTTTGATGTTCTATTATTTGATTAAGTGTTGGTTATGTTTGAATTGATAATTGCATTAAAAATGAAGAATTTTCCATGAAGTTCCTAAGGGTACATTTGGCCTAAATTCTTAAAATTTTAGGGTTTCAATTCCGTTGAGTTCTTAGTGATTTAATGGTTAAGTGGGAGTTAGTTAAATGTGAATTGATGGATGCAAATGAGAAATTTCTAAAAAATTGAAGAATTCCATTAATTTCTTAAGGCTCATATTTGACCCAATCAGGAATGAAATTAGAGTTTTTGTGTTTTTGATTCCTAAGGGTTTAATTGATTAATTCTAAGATAGTATAGCCTAAAAATATGAATTAATATGGAAGATTTAATTTAAAATGGAAAACTACCCTAGTTTTGCTTGGTTAAAGTCTTAGCCTATTAAGTCTAAATTAGGGTTTTTTATGTAATTTGATGTGTAATTGATGGTTCCATGATGATTTTGGTGCAATGCGTGTACTTGAAATGTGAATTTGGATGCCTATGTGAGATTATGTATGTTTGTGGAAAGTTTGTGTAAAATTTAAATATATACCGTTATCCGATTCTATATTGAAATGTGGATTGTTATTGCCTTTTGTGATGGTGATATTGTGATTGAGATGTAAATCATGAATGTTTGGTCATGATTTCGGAGGGGGACACCTATGATGATGCATATTTATAATTTTATAAAATGCACTCGTTAAGGTTATATTTTATGTTACTTGTGACATTTCATTTAGCATGTAAAGCATAATTCATAATCATAATGTACTTGCATTATATGCACGAACATGCCAAGTTTATGAAAATGATTTAAAGTCATGAAAAGAGGATTTTATGTCAAGAATTTTGCAATAGCAATTAGAAAATATTTTATGGCTATTGATTTTCATGGCTTTCATGGTTTTAATAAGGAAGGCTTCATAGGTTTTTCATACTAGTTATGGTTCATGATTCGAGTGTCGGATAAGTATAGACGTGCACTTTTAAAGACTCGGTAAGGTGCGTCAGCAAGTGGGTCTGTTTCTCTAGACATATTATGGAAACTCGAAGTACCTATTATGGATATGTCCAAAGACAGAAAATATTTTCGGACTAATCATGATATAAATTTTATGGCATGAAAAATGATTTAAGATGAACATACAAAATTTTTTCTTATGCATTTCATTACATGTATAACATGCATAGGTCGACTTACCGAGTTGTAGCTCTTCTATTTTCTTATCGTGTAGATGACATAGGTAAAGACAATGATGTTTACATTTGAGCTAACTACCAAAGGTATCATGCACCATTTGTATATTGGATGTGGCTGGAAGATGGACCTTATTCATACCATGGTTATTTTTAGTACTCCGTATACTAGTTTACTTTTTGGGTATGACATCGTTTTTCTATGTGATAGTTAAAGCTATGCAGAAATGAATAGCTAGTTAGAAAGTAGTGGATGTGAATAGAAAATAAGCCGGTTTTGTAGTATGTGGCATTGAATTGGTTTATGTATGTTAAGGATAGTTTTTATGTAAGTAAAAATATCGATAGTAAAATAGTAGTATAACCGCAGTTAGTGTAGTTTTGTTTAAGTTATTTCCTCATGTGTTAGCATCAATAGTAAAATAAAAAGGTGAAATTAATAAGACAATAACTATAATAAATGATAATTAATGAGGATAAAAGAAATTAATCATCGAGTAATAGGTAATAACTAAATGAATTTCTACCAACCATTCGAAAAGCAATTTGGGAAAATCGAGATTCATGGATCCAGATCATTTCGATCTAAGTAATTTAAATTAAATAATAAAGCACAAAAAATTTATAGTTCATTTCGAACTAAAATTTAGGATCTATCCATCATTATTAGATTTCCATAGCTAAGTCCATATGTAGAATACCGTAATAAAGACACGAGTGCGTTATTGATTTGCATTCATCGCACTTTAAATGTAAATCAATGACGATAATATTCTCATCCTAAAAGGTCCTAGGTTGGGAGTGTTAAAACATAGGTTTTAAGAAAACGGCTAGTCATGTCCCAATCATAGTTATAGGTTTAATTATGACACACAATGAGAGTGATCAACTCTTTGTGAGTGCCATTGTTATAGGCTCATAGTTCACATTTGGGAATGTAATAGGGGGGACATGGCTAGTGCTTTTTATAATTTTCACAAACATGATTTTCATGGAGCCGGATATATATAAATATATTCGATAGGGCTTACATGGTCACGGAAAATGTATTTCATTGCATCATATGCATTCATGCATAAAAGGCATCATATGTGGTAAAAAGGCTTATTGGCTTGCATTCATTACACTTGGAATGCGAGTCAACATCGATATTAATTTTGACCTATTTAGGTCTTAAGTCGGAGGTGTTACAAAGGAGTCGATAGATGAGGTCTGGTTTAGTCAAGGAGGAGAGGGATGAGATGGGTTCGATTGGTTGGTCATGATTGGAGGAAAGTGATTAGGCTGATTTGGTCATGGAGGAAAGGGGTTGATATGGTCAAAGAGAGGTGGAGTTGATTCAATCATGACTAGAGGAAAGAGATGGAATGGGCGGGAAAAAGGAGAGGCTGGCTCGGTTACGAATGAGAAGGACATATGGTGGTGCTAGTTCTGTTTTAGGAGAGAGAGAGGTGGAACAAGCTGGATAAGGAAAAGTTGGGTGGCATTGGTTCGAATACAAAAGAGATAGAGGTTTGGCTAGATGAATATTTTTTTTAAGACAATGAATAGTGAATAGACTATAAAAATGAGAAGGGGTGAGTATTTATAGGAGAAAATAGAGCTTTTTCAAAAAAGGTTAATTTTGATCCTTGATTCCTCCTAACTCATCAATTCAAGTGTAATTTTGATTGTTTAAAATTCAATGGAACCCCTAAATTGCAATTAATCAAGACCTCTTTTTTTTATTATTTCTTTCAATTGTATCCTTCTCGTCTTTATTTAAGAGTTTGAGGTTTTGAGTTTTTTTAAATATATTCTCAATTGGGTTTTTCTTGGTTCTCAAACTTCTTATTTATTTTAATTAGACATTTAAAACTACTTTTAACCCTTATTTTTTAGTTGCATTTTTTATTTTTTATTTTTTCTGTAGGAATTAAAGGAAAATAAATAGAGGGTAAAAAATTAGGTAACAACACAAGCAGTTTAAGTGTTGGATTTATTATTCGGGTTTGGACCAACAATATGGGTAATTTCTCATCCTCAACATTATTGATCTATAATCGGCTCGAGGCCCTATATATGTTCAGTTATGCTAAGAAAAACGTAAGAGCTAGGGAAATTAGTGAGGTCCCCTTTGACTCGATCGGTGCATGGAAATGCACAAATCCAAGCAAAGAAGGGGAGCTCACGATCGCATGGACCATTCCTCTATATAATTTAAAGCACCAAGCTAGCTTAAGAAACAAACTCTTTGTTTCATTAATTATTTGCACTTTCCCACACACTCCCACTCCGTAAGGTAACAGAACATATACGATCCAGTCTCCAGTCCAGCTTTGCTTACAAATTTTCTCCCTTTAAATAGAATTTAGAACCAATCACTTCTTACCCGCCAATGTAAAAGACTACTAAGTAACTTGTCTACTATTTCCCAGCAGCTTTGCCTCCCCCTCCTTCCCTCTTCTGCCTACCTGTCTAAGAGCTCCTCAAACTATCAACATGTTTGTCCTTAATTTTTTTAATGGCCAGCTATTATTCTTTATTGAAAAGTAGTGGGAGCAGAGAGGATATAATTAGATGGGGAGGGGTAGTAGGAGTTTGAGGGCCATTTTTGGAGCTGTTATATTTTGGGGTGTGATTTGGTTCTTGTATGTTGGAATCCTAGCAAACCGAGCAACGACACTAATGGCAAGAATTAGAGTTTCATCAGCTGGAACTTTGAAGCATTTGAAGTTAAGTGGAAGAGAGAGTCATGTTATTCATCATGACTTGGATCTCAATTATGTGAGCAAGAGAAGAGTGCCCAATGGACCTGATCCCATTCACAACAGGTACATACATACAGATATATTACTTCTCTAGTGATCAATATGTTTGGCGTTAAACCTAGCTAGAGAAAGAAATTGGTAGTACAAGAATCAGTTTGTGATGGGTCGAACCTGCATGAACATATCAATTTATATCAATTGCAGCTTGAGAATAAACTAGCTAGGCAGATGCTAGACCAGGCCACTCTAAACATCATTTGAAAATTAGTAATATGATTTCTAGAGATGTGAAAGGGGAACAAACTGGTATTTGTTATCTGGGAAACTAATGGTGGTTTACCTTGCCTCACCCTTTAACTAAAGCTTCTTTACAGACCAATCTTTCTCTTATTTTTATGTGGAGGGAACAAAGACATTGGGGGGAGAACCGGACAACTTTTAAGTGGGTGGAGGAATTCTTAATTTATTTACTCTAGAATCTGATCAAATAAAATTTTTTAGCTACCTTTTGCTCCCGTTGGACTCCGAAACCTCTTATCTACTTTAAGTTAACAGAAGAGGGAGGAGATAAATTGCTTGATACATATGTAGATAGGTGTGAGCTCACATTGCAATAAAAAAATTTGCAAGTATTCTGTATTTTTGGGTTTTGGAATCTGGGTCCTAAATGCTCTAATGTGTGTTTTGCGTCCCTACTTTAAATTTTATTGTAAAAGTAGTCTTGGATATATTAACATCACCATCATCATCATGTAGGATTGTCTCTGTATTCTCCTTTTTATTCTCATTAATTAATATTTTCTTTAACGGGTACTATATATGTTATTCAGGAAAACATCCCTGTCTAGACAACCACCTGGTCGATCCTAATTAAATTTGAAGAGACCGAGAGAGTGAGTACCTTTAAACTTGCGAGGAAGAATCACATCCAATGAATTTAAAGGCTGCCTGGAAGGACTGCTAGTAGATTTTAGTGAAACATTCTATACTCTTTATGTATTAATATTCTGCTAAAACATTGTCATTGTCTTTTCTAGGAGCTGTGACTATTGTCTTGAGTCCACAGATGATATTTATATATTATCCTTAGATTTCCTGCAGTTTATGTATTTGGAGTTTGTTGAGTGATTACCTTAATCAGTGCTATAGATTTTGGAGATTATCCCAAATTTTATCCAAATGAGCACCCTCTATGTAATGAATCTTGTCTACCATTCTGCTTTATGATAGGAACAGATTTAATTAATATTTTGCTTCATGATTGGAACAGACATTGATGGTAGGGATTTTATTATTAGTTTTTCTATTTGGCACTAAAAATATCATCGTATTAGTTTGTGATCGATTGAAAGTAGGTTTTTTTTTAGCATTTTTTTTTAAATATCATTCACATTCATCTAATGCATTCAAAATAAAGAAGTTTCCTAATTAGTGGCAGAACATGATACCATAATTTCGAAAAGATATAGAACCTTAGAGGAATCTCGTGTTACCTGTTTAATCATTTTCTAAGAGCAATAAGGGATTATTAGCCTAACTCTAATTATTTTGTTTTTGCTTTTGCATGAAAAGAATGGAACACTGTCCAACAAAGTTTCTAGTCTCCGTACATGATGATTGGCCTAACGTTAATTATACTGGAGTACTATACATTCAGCTGATTTACCTTTTATTGGATTGGATATTTGGATTTCTTCTTTGAAAGTTGCTTCGTTTTCCCCAACTAAAGGTTACCGGACCCATTAACTAAAGTTTGCTCTTTTCTCGAAACATTTTCCCCGTAAATGGTGCCACCGCAATATAAATAATATAATTGCGAGATCTACCAATTAAGTCATAGACTAGTTTGATAAGGATATCTGAGTGTTTCTTCTCTATCCTAAAAGTAATTAAATACTTTAGGATTACTACTCCTTCACTTGCAAAAAAATTGAAATCTATGGCATATCCTATTTTTATGTAACTGAATAAGTATTACTTTCAAAATATCTAATAATTTCTCAAGGTAAAAACAAACCCTCTATTAATTCATCCAAGGAGAACACAGACGACAATTATAAAGTTTTTCACCAACATTGCGGGTTTATTTTGGAATCTTAAACTCCTTACAATTTTAAGAACATTAAAAAAAAAAAAAAAAAAGATGTTTGGTTTTAAACAATTTATTATGAAGTTATAATTATATTGATTCAAAGTGAAAATTGCACAGCAAGGAAAGGAAGCATCTCTATTCATTGCTTTTTCTTTCACTTTTTTTTTTTTTATCGCTCTCTTTTTCTTGCTTTTTTTTTTTTTTTTTTTTTTCGTTTTTCGTTTTTTCTTTTCTGGTTTGGTTTTGAATGGTTCGAGATGCAAAGACTCAGTCCAACTCCAATACAAAGTGACTGAGATTCAAAATTAGAGGTTCTTTTTGGTTGCATGGGAGACAGATTCCCATCTCGTGCAGTTCTTTTTATTAAAAGTTACTGCCCTGATGGTAATAGACTCCATGAACTGCCGCATATTTTAGGGGAAAATATACTTTTAGCGATTTAACATTTTTCTTTTTGGCCCAATATATGATTTTATATATTTTAGTATTTTACAAACTCCAAAGCAGATTAATGGTTCAATCTACGTTAATGAAAAAAAAAAAGTTAATGGTTCAAGATGTACTTCTACTGTCTTATTTGTCTTAATCATGTACTTTTATTAAATTTTTCATTAATTTTGTCCATCTATGTTATATTTGTGTTTTAAGTTTGTCCTTCTATCTAAATTTTTAGATAATGACATTAATTTCTAATGACAGACGCATAGAATGCTAACACGTGACTTTTTTTTTTTTTAATTTTCAAATCGTATTAACAAAAGTAATGAAATGAAAATTAAAAAAAAAACCTCAAATTGCCCCCCATTAAAAATATCCTAAACCCAACATCTAGTTACGAATTCCCCTTTCCTAAACCTAACCCTAAACTTATTTCTCCTTCTCTCTTCAATTATCAAACGAAAATCAAAAACCTACCTTTAGTTCTTTTTCTTCGATTATTTATAAAGAACCTCTAATCTCAACCATTTCATCTTCCATGTCATTCTTCATCTTCTTTTCTCCTCATGTTCTCTCGTGTTCTCTCACCTTTTCTCTTTTAGTTGCTTTATAAAGTTAAAGGAAATCTAACAACCAAAAAAAAAAAAAGATTCATAGCTCAAATGGAGATTATGTACTTATATATTTTTTTAAATTCTTTTCACCAAATTAAGTAAGTTGGGTAGTCGCTATGGTCCCTCCATTTTGTGATTTTTTTACAATATTTTATTAATTTTTTTTGTATGTGTTTTCTCTTTCATTGTCCATTCATAGTGGTCCCTCAAGATGGGTAAGTTATGGCTTTAAATTGGAGGAAAATTATATAGAACATTTAAAGATGGAGGGCTTATTTGAGACATACAAATGAGGTATTTTGGTTGATGAGAGCATTGACGAGGATGGTTTTTTCCTTTTTTTTTTTTTTTTTTGGGGATTACTAAAGCTTGCTAAGACAAAAGGTTATACAAATAGAATATGTGTGTATTATGACTATTCAAAACTGGATAATAATTTAACAAAATGCCTCGAGTTAATATATGATGACTCGAAGTTTATATCCTATACTTGACTCGATGATGAATAATAAATGTGTTGATGTGTATCATGAACATTGTGACAATGCGCATCTTTATTTTAATGTGAACAATCCATAGGTTGTACGTGAGAATTTTGGTATTAATGTGAATGATAGACTTAGTTATGGTGTAATTTCTATTGGTAGAAGTTTAAGTCATTGTGTTATTGAAAATGATGGTGTTGAAGATGATGAAGTTGAAATTATTGATAGAGTAATCGAGAGGAATCATGAGCAAATAAAAAGAGGGACAATAGATAGGAAAATTTATGATCGGGAACATGAGCAAACGAAGGGAGGGACAATAAAAAAGCGGAATTATGATGAGGAAAATGAGCAAACAAAGGGAGGGACAATAGAAAGGCAAAATTATGACGAGGAACGTAAAGATAATGTTGAAGAGGACCAATTAGGAGTTGAAGATGATATTAATTTTAAATGTAGTTGACTAAGTGACAATAATGATAAAGATGTATAGCATGCAAAGAGTTGTTTTAAAAGTACAAAATGTGATTCTAGAAAGGTTAAGGCGTTCGTAAAGTGTAATGAAGTTGATAATATGTAGGGGAATGATGTTGATGGGAATGTAAGTAGCTATGCAGATGATAATATAGATGGGGTATTGATGAAAATATTAAAGAGGTTGGAGATGTTGAAAGATTGGAAAGGGAAAATGATTATAATTCTAATGAAAGAGTGACCTATTTATTAACCACTAATGATGATTTAAATGTAGAACATGGTAAAAGGATGAAAGCAAAGATCGTTATGTATGATATGAGAATGAAGTCCCTCACTTTTAGATTGGTATGGTGTTTTTGATTCAAAAAATATATGTATCTAGACAAGTCTGTTATAAAGCATTCAATGAAGCATAAAAGAGTTGTGAAGTTTGTAAAGGATGGTTGTGTTATGATTAGAGTTGAACGCAAGCATACGGATTGCAAACAGAACTTGTTTGTGTCCTCTCGCATAATGGGAAATCAAGCTAGGTTATGAAAACTTATGAGCCATAACACACACGCGATGTCACCTTCACTAGTAGATGAGTTAATTATAAGATTTTGGTTAATGAGTTAATAAAAAAACTTGGAAGATTGGTAGTACAATGAATGCTCTAAATTAATCAAGTAGTTATTTACTAAGCCTAATTACTATACTATAGCTAGGGTGAGTAAAGGTCGATCCCATAGAGACTAACTTGATCAATATTTAATTTTTTTTTATTATAGCGGTTTCATAAAAATAAAAAATGACTCAACAAAACATAGTGAATGCGAAGTTTAGTTTTTGAGTAACTTACTACAATTTAAATAAATAGAAATTTAAAGAAAAGATAATCAAATTAATGAACTCTAGTCCTTGGTTTAATTTCCATCCACCCATGCAATGGACATAAAAAATCATAGCGTTATTCTACCTTATCTAATGGAGTTATTGATATTAGGCAATAAAATGAAAGATCATGCATCCTATGGAGGTGTGAAATAAACAAAACTTTTTCTCCATCTAAGGGTTCAAGATCAAGCCGTTGAATCCGATTAACTATGCATGCATAAATTTAAAGCAATGAATAAAGAATTACCTCTTATAACATAGATGTAAATTCTTTTATCGAAAAGCGATCCAAGTGTCTTGCCTCTATTCATGATCTACGTAGTTCAAGTACCCATAAAGAAGCACTCAAAATTGTTAAGGTGCTAGCTCTATCATTTTTAATTTGTGTAGCATTCCTATAGAAATCTATTCTAGGTAATTTTTGCGACAACCTTAAAAGACAAGGGAAGAGTATGGCATGCTAGGGTTTTGGAGAAAACTATTTTCTCCATTTTCATCTCTCTTTTTCATGTGCCTTAATGGTTTTTTTATGGTTAGTCGAATTTCTCTTTTGTCCTTTTTTTTTTCTTATGTTACTCGCACCTCTCTCTCCCCCATTTATTTATAGAAGAGTTTCCTTATCCTCTAAGGACAAAAAGAGGGGTGGCATTGAGTCTCTTCAAGGACTCTAGGTTATTGCTTCTTTATCATCAAAGGATGAAGAGTTATTTTACATATGGACTTTTGATCTTTATCTTTAAAACATTCATCCTTATCAAAATAAGGTTGATGTTTATCCTCCCACCAAAATATCTTAAGCTTTTAATTAAACCTAATGGGCTAAAACCATTTTAGCTCAATTAATTTATTTCGAATATCTAAATAAATAATCTTAGATTATTTTAGGCG